GAGGGTTTACGGCTGTGGGGTTAAGGCGTGTAGGGTTGGGCCTCAGAGCAGCTTCGATCCGGGCTAAAACCCCACGCCCCCAGTATGCAAGCAGGTGTCTGACTGGCCCGGCACACAGGATGTGCGCAAGCGGCGGAGGCAGCTGCATGTGCCGTTGCCCCCCCACCTGATGCAGGGTTTAGGAGTTTTGGGTGGGGGGGTCCTGAATCAGAGAAAGAGAAAACCTTCAGAGAAAGAGAAAATCTAGTCTCCTCATCCATTAAGATGATATTGGATAGAATGAGATCGTTCCTCTCTTTCTCGATTACCATCTCCTTCTCGGATCCATCATAAACAAATATGGACATACCTCTGAAATATGAACGAAACTGGTATATAAGGGGTACCCCTATTCTGGGAAAATACATGAGAAAGATATCCACACATGAGGTTGTAAAGGGTCCCAAGCCTTTGCGGAACGGAATATCACACCCAAAAAAACTTGCTGCACAGTAGCCCTATAATACCTAAGCCCTATAGACCCTAAACACTGAACGGGAAGCCCTAAGCCCCAATAATAAAGGTCCGACGCCTGGGCTTGTAGTCCACGAAGGTTGCCTCGCACCTGGGGTTGGCATCTTGCGTCGACACGCTAAACTCTAAGCCCTTAACCCTAAACCCCAAAACCCGAAACCCTACACAGCAATGAAACAAACAAGCTGTAGCGGTACCCATCTTGTCTCCTTGCATGGAGTTGGGTGCCAGTGTTTGAAGCCCCGTGTTTTGCTGTGGTACTTCGCTCTCCCTACATGACTAGACGCTGCCTCAGTAATCCCAAACTCTTCAACCAAGATCTCAGGCACCAGTGCATGACGCATGTGCTGTCGCCGAACTCCGTCTCGCGGCAAACATCGACCTCGCGAATAGGCTCCTGCAAATTCACGCAGATCTCTGGGGAAAAACAAAAAAAGGTGAGATCTAAACGCAACTGGGCCTGGCTAGTGATTATCCCAAACCACAGGGAACGTACAATATAACATGTAGTCCATTAGAAGAACAAGGCAAGTCTAGCGCCGGACTACGTGACACGTGTGGTTTCAAGCTAAAGGTGGCCATTGCATGGGGTTTGGGCAGAACAGGTCCCTGGTGGCAAGCAGCGGACACAACCTTGGGACCCAGAAGCTCGGAAATGTGGCAAGCCTGTTGGAATTGATGTTGTGAAGTGAATGATTTGGAGAGGGGGGCCGGGACAGCCCCCAGGATTGCAACCCACGAAATGCGACGATTCAGCCTGAAGAGTGGCCTGCATGGCAACTCTGAGGGTATGCAGTGAAAGCCTGAAGCGCAACAGAAGCTAATGAATCCCATTTCATCTTGTAGCCCTAAACCCTAAACCCTAAACCCTAAGCCCTAAGCCCTAAGCCCTAAACCCTAAACCCTAAACCGCGCTTTCAGGCTCCTCGGTGGCAATGGGCAGAGCTGTCGTTATGCCGTCAAAGTCCCTCAAGATCCTGGCAACTTGCTGCTGGTTAGTGGGGAATGGGGGAATGACTACAGAATCCCTTAATTACATGGTATATGTATTCGGCCCTATATATATAATTATATATATATATATGTATTGATATTGATATTGATATTGATATTGATATTGATATTGATATTGATATTGATATTGATATTGATATTGATATTGATATTGATATTGATATTGATATTGATAGGGCCCTAGATGTATATGTACATACCCTTTTAAAGGGTATGTATGTATACGGCCCTAATTCCCTCATTCCCTGCTAACTCTGGCGACTCGGGAATTGGCAGTTGCAGGAACAGTTTTGGGTGGGCCCGGCTGTCAGAAACCCTAAACCCCAAACCCCAAAGCCCTAAACCCTAACCCCTAGACCCTAAACCCTAAACCCTAAACCCTAAACCCTAAACCCTAAACCCACGGCAGTTGGAATGATCTTGCAATCTCACGCTTTGTTTGTCCGGTTGGGGAGGAAGGTGCGGCTGACACTTCCTTGTGGTGGCAATCGCCGCAGCTGTCGGTGGTGGTGTTCATGGGTGGTGGTGGTGGTGGTGGTGGTGGTGGTGGTGGTGGTGGTGGTGGCGGCGGCGGTGGTGGTGGCCCTAAACCTTAAACCCTAATAGGGTTTAGGGTGCATTTCGGGGTTTAGGGTTTAGGGTGGCTGGTGGTTGGTGGCCGCTGGCTGTTTGCAATGGCGCCGGTGGCAGTGGCGACGGGGGTGGTGGTGGTGGTGGTGATGGGATTGGTGGTTGTGATTCTGGCATGTTTGTACAACCCCTAAACCCTAAACCCTAAACCCGTTGAACTTTGGACTATTTATGACAGGTTCTCTCGCGAGGGCTCGCGCAGCCTTTACAGACCTCTTCGTGTGTTACACAGGGGTGCGCTGACGTGGACTATCGCGGAAGGATTCCGGAAGCCATCGCACGCTCGTTCACCGACCGTAGCTGACGCGGCGCAGGCGGCCCAATCAACAATCAACCCCGCTGTCTTACTCCTTTCACGCGGTGGTGTTGTAGCTGCTTTGGGCCAGCCGGGGGGGGGGTGCTTCCGCATAATTACTTGTGCCTTGAGAATTCGAAACCAAGCTCAAATCTCTGTGCAGCCCTTGTGTCTGCGCATGATCAGAATGTACGGCATGCAGCGTCATTGCAACATGTAGTATATGTCTATAACCCTAAACCCTAAACCCTAAACCCTAAACCCTAAACCCTTATGACATGCACTTGGAAAGCAGGAGAGCTTGAATCGCAGGCCCGGTCCTCACGCCCTCGTTCTGGTTATGGTTCGAGGGGAAGATGTCGGGGAAGCTAGTGGACGTCTGCAAGCTCATGGCGGAAACCACAACCTTGGATACTTTCTGTACAGGGCTTTGGAAATCGCGCGGCGCAGTTCAAAACCAGGGCAGACGTCTGCCCAAACTTCAAAACAGTATTCGAGGAGCACATGCCACCACCGCGGCAATAGTCAGCACTACGACGGGCACTCGACATCGGTAGAGGCCGTGTGCGCAAAGGTAGTACTTTCGAGAGCTGCTCTTCAAGCGCCGGTCAGAGGGTCGCCGCACCAGTCGGAGCCGTCCTTGGTAGCCCAGTAATGTTGGACTCGGTTTAGTGCGTAGGGATCCCCCCCCCTCCTCCCCGAAACAATTTTGGGAATGTGGGCTGGGGTCAAGCTGAGCTGAGTCGAGTCTGCCTGTGATCGTAGGAAGGCAGACCAGCACAGGGTGGGATGGGGGGCCGGGCTCCGCATTCATGCGGGCCACCGAAACAATTTGCTAAAGCGAATCAGGGCAGCTCGTGGGCTACTCCCTTGGAAAATTGTTTGGGGGGGCTATTTCGTAATGAAATTTCAAAAGGAATTTATATGAAGTTGGAGAGCTGACGGAATTCCAACCCGGAACCTGGCAAGGCTTGGAAGCGATGACACCAGGGGGGCAGAGCCCCCCCAGCCGGGGCAACATCGCATAATTCAGGACCACCCTGATCTTATGGGGGTCCCGCATAAGATCTCCGCAAAAACGCATAATAGTGCCCCCCCCTCACTAAACCGGGTGCAACATTAGCCATATAAGAATAAGGGCTTAGGGTTTAGGCTTTATGGTTGAGGGTTTAGGGTTTAGGGTTGCTTTAGAAGAGAACCTTGAACCCCACCAAAAAGGGTGTAAAGGGTACCACTGGGCTGCCAAGGGTCGGCACCAGGTGTGGTCGATGACGATGATGGGCACGTAGATGAAGGTAATGTTGACCCATGCTACCTATACTGAACTTGTTTAGGGTTTCGGGTTTAGGGATTAGGGTTTAGGGTGCTATCTCTTAGGAATTAGAGTACCCAAAGATGAACAATATTTCCAAGTACTCCCAAGCTACGAGGACACAAAGGCCCATGAAGAAGCCAAATTGCCTCAAGGCCCGGATCACGCTGGCCATGTTGCCTCAAAAGTCGCCAAGGACGAAAGGAGAAGAACGGGGTTGGACTTGATTTTCCCCACAACATCAGGAAACCCAACGAGATTAGAGCAAACCCTAAAGCCTAAACCCTAAACCCTAAACCCTAAACCCTGAACCCTCCACTGGCCAAGAAGGGTTGCAGAGGAAGGAGAGGGCAGTCGTGGAGGTGGTCGCCAAGGAGGCCTTCACGGCTCTTCCTTGGTAGCAACCGGTAGCCATGTGTCTGGTTTAGGGTTTAGGGTTTCGGGTTTAGGGTTTAGGACTGCTACCAGGGAACCTAGAACCCACAACATGGCAAAAAGGGCACCACTCAGCACCAAGATTCTATACGTCCAAGCTAAGCGGTTGGGAATCTTCTCTGCAACTTCGCTGGACTGTACCCAGGAGTCGTAGTACACGAACCTGGGCTTTGCCATCGGCAGAAACACGAAATAATCGAACCCCGGTTTAGGGGGGTTTAGGGTTTAGGGTTTAGGGTTTAGGGTTTAGGGTTTGCAATGAGCACTTGGTAAAGATGGTCGGTATCTCGGCACCATCGGGCTTGGGGGCTTAGTTCCGCTGGCTTATTGCTAGTTCGTAATAGGACATTAGGGAGCTAAGTACCTTAAATCCTGAATTTTCCTGCTACACCAACATTAGGGGTCGGAATAACTACTAATCCCTTATATGGTTTCTATATAGTCATACTGTAATAACCCCCCAAAACCCTTTTCCAATGACCCTATAGTACCTAAACCCCAAAACCCACCCGGCTTTCATAAACCAAGCTTGCAAATTGTATGCTGCTTTCTGGCCCGCGAAAGATCCCATAGAGCCACCGAGGAGAGTAAAGATACATGTAGGGCTTCGACCTGTCCTTTTGGGATGTGCCCCCTCATACTATAACTGTCTTTAATGGGGATCATAGCAGGTACTATAATCCCTCCTAGGGACTATTAATATAAGGGGAACATCCCAACTTCTCATGGTACAACCGTTTCAGAGGACAGCACATCAAGCCTAAACCCTACAAAACACGGCAGACTTTAACAGCAGATGACCGGTTCTCTTGCTATTGCTCTGTGCAAGCATGCTCAAGAATGGAGCCTAAACACAGAACCCGAAGCCCCACCCAGAAACCTAAGCAATGCCCCGCAGCATGACGTCGGCGCCGAAACCAATCGCAAGGAACACCGCCAGGAAATTGGCGAAATTCACCGTGGTGGTGCCTCGCCCCGACAAGCAGATGGAGCACAGAGATACGTGCACAAATACCGCGCAGCCACAAAGCCTAAACCCTAAACCCTAAACCCTAGACCCTAAGAACTAAACACTAAACCCTAAACCCTAAACCCTAAACCTCAACCCAAAATCCTCAGTCGACTCATATTAGGGCTATAAACCTCTGACAAACAGTCCACAGTAAGACTCTCCTTCTTTCTAGCCCAATGAGATATCAAAATGCAGCGAAGTGCTACCCAAAAAAACCCTTTAAACCCTAGACCCCAAACCCCAGCCGCCAAACTGGTGTTGCGGTCCCCCCGCGTGCAGCCCAAGGGCCGAAGAAGACGCCGCAGCAGATGAACGTGATCGGCACCGCCATCATCGCCAGAAAAGGTCCCACCAACTGAGCAAGTTTTGGGGTGGATAGGGTTTAGGGTTTAGGGTTTAGGGTTTAGGGTTTAGGGTTTAGGGTTTGGGGTTTGGGGTTTAGGGTTTAGGGTTTAGGGTTTTGGGTTTAGGGTTTAGGGTGTCCGTCTCCGTCTCTTCTTCCTACAGAGCTGCTTTCTGGTTTCACCTCTTGTTTAAGCACAGGCAACGAGGGGCGTGGCTTCGTGGGCTTGCAAGCCTAAACCCCCTAAACCCTAAACCCTAAACCCTAAAGACTAAACCCTAAACCCTAAACCCTAAACCCTAAACCCAAAAACCCAAAACCCTAAACCCCAAACCCCTAAACCCTAAACCCTATTCCTTGTTCCTCTTTTCATAGTACCGAGCCCTGACCTCTTTCGATTGCCTCTGCACATCCAACATCAGAGCGTGGTGCGCGACCCAAGAGGGTTTAGGGTTTAGGGTTTAAGGTTTAGGGTTAGGGGTTTGGAAAGGGCCGGCATTTGCAGGCAAGGCCGGCGTCAACTTTCCTTGACTCTCAACCTTTTCCTAAAACTCCTGAACCCGAAAGCCCTAAAACAACCTTGAAACCCCAACCTCCTAAGACGTAAAGCACTAACACCCTGAAACCCTAGAACCCGAAAGCCCTAAAACCCAAAAACCCTAAACTCCAAAACCCTAACTCCTGAACCCTAAACCCAAAACTCTACTCCCCTAACTCCTAAACCCCAAAATCCTAAACTCTTAATTAACCCTAGCTCCTACACCCCAGCCCTAAACCCTAAACCCTAAACCCAAAACTCTTAATTAACCCTAACTCCTAAACCCTATAGACCCTAAAACCCCAACTCCATGCCTACGAGGGCTCCGGGGTCCGGCGTGATGGGATTTTTGCGCACCCAGGGGCATGACTCGAGGGTTTTAGGGGGAGGGGGGGGGGGGGGGGGGTTTAGGGTTAGGTTTAGGGTTTAGGGTTTAGGGTTTAGGGTTTAGGGTTTAGGGTTTAGGGTTTAGGGTTTAGGGTTTAGGGTTTAGGGTTTAGGGTTTAGGGTTTAGGGTTTAGGGTTTAGGGGTAGGGATTAGGGTTGCTCTCTAGCGCGGCTGTAGGGTTTACGGCATTGGGGTTATGGCTAGGGGGTTTAATTTAGGGTTTAGGGTTTAGGGTCAACATGGCACTGTTCAGCCCCGCAGCAGCCAGAACAACGCTCCGAGTGTGGAAGAGCATGTAGCCAAAGATGAACCTGGGTTTGGGGTTTGGGGTTTAGGATTTACGCTGAGGGATGGAGCCAAAGATAGCCCTAAGGGTCCCTAAACCCTAAACCCTAAACCCTAAACCCTAAATCCTAAACCCTAAACCCTAGCACCCAAGTCGACAACCCTGTAAGCCTCCGCAAATCGCACCGTCTGGCCCGGCTAACCTTAATAAACCCGAAACCCTAAACCCTAAACCCTAAACCCTAAACCCTACGCCACTGCGATCAAAGAGACACTGCAGATCCTACAGCCAGGGGAATGTCGTTCAGGACGGCCGTCATGACCTGACTAAGTCCCACAGAGTCCATGTATACCCGTGTGTACTATACACTTGGGCCTTACAGGGATTGAGCAGCTTTAGGACCAAGGCTAAGGGCGAGTCTCTACATTGTGGGTTCCGGTAGGGGTTATTAGATGTTAAACTAAACTCTTCTCCTCGCCCATCGCCCGCATCCCACCCCAGGGTATCCCAAGAGTGTCCCCGGAGTGCACAACCCCATAGTGTCCCTGGAGTGCCCAACCCCAAAACATTCCAAATCTGTAGGGTGGGGATGTTCGATGTAAAATAACTGTTGTGGTACTGTGCCCTATGTAGAAGGCGCCGTACTATAATCGGAATACAAACCGGGACCCTAATTTGGGGGAACCCCCACTCTATGGGCACATGTCCCCTTAGGAGCAGTCTTTCGCACAAGTCTTGCAACCTGCAGCCTTCGGGTGTAGGGTTGCAGTGATTCACTACAACGGGTGCTGTTACCCTAGCCCCCACAGAAAGTTGACCTCTTTGCTCGCTCACGAGCCTCCGAGAAGTGGAGAGCAGAGGCCAGAACCAAAAAACCTAAAGCCTAAACCCTCAGCCCCTTCAAAGTGCCCAACAAAATGCACCAGAAAACTGCCCAAGTAGAACGACAGCGGTGTAGGGCCGAAGCCCTACAAAAATTCCCACACCCTGTGCAGATTGTAGTCGGAGAAGTTGGCAACCCTAAACCTTAAACCCAAAAGGGCATAAAGTCTGCCTCCAGGCATACTAAGGAACCCTGAACCCTAAACCTGAAACCCTCAGGCCATAAACCCGGGTTCGGGTGTCTGCCACCTCGGCAGGCCGTTAGTCAAGCAAAGCCCTGAATCCCCAACTCTAAACCCTAAACCCTAAACCGTAAACCCTAGACCCTCAACCCTTAGCAGCATGCCTCGAAATCGCGGAACCCGGTGCCATCGAACCATACCTGGGTTCAGACTTGGCAGTTTACGGAGGAATTGCCCTAACCCCTAAACCCTAAACCCGAAACCCTAAACCCTAAACCCTAAACCCTGAACCCTGAACCCTGAATGGGAGCCGTAGAGTTGAAGGTATAGGGCTTAGGGCTTAGACTTGGCAGTTTACAGAAGAACTGCGCCAAACCCCAAACCCCAAACCCCAAACCCCAAACCCCAAACCCCAAACCCCAAACCCCAAACCCCAAACCCCAAACCCCAAACCCCAAACCCTAAACCCTAAACCCTAAACCCTAAACCCTAAACCCTAAACCCTAAACCCCCAATGGGAGCTGTAGAGTAGAGTGGAAGGTATCGGGCTTAGGGCTTCGAAAAGCTAGGACGATCGGCAGCGGGACAAGCTGCGTCGCCCCGAACGCAACAGGGCTTAGGTTTAGGGTCTCTAAGCCCTAAACCCTAGCCCTAAACCCTAAACCCTAAACCCTAAACCCTAAACCCTAGAAAAGCCCTCTCCGGATTTCTGCAGGCCTCTGAAAGGGTAATCCCCCAAAATGAAGGCACCATCTATCCCTTGCTCAAGCGTATAATTACAGGTTACACTAATTCCCATACCCTACCTGGAGTCTCTAATGTAGTTCCGTTTTGGGCTATTTATAGGGGATTCGAGTATACTACCTCAAAAAGGTACTACATAGGAGCCTTGAGGTTAATACGATGCACCCAGGGCGCGTTCAGGTCAACGCCTTTCATGAGGTCGCTTTCCCGGAGGGTCGGCACCACGATGTCGGTGAAAAAGTTCTTCAGGCGGCGTTCATCTTCAGCTTGGTGGGGGGGCAACAGTCATGTTAAGGCCTGAAACATATATACTTTGCCGGGGGGTTGAGGCCTTGTAGGCTTTACCCAAAGGCGCTCCTACGTAGTACCTTTTTTGTGGCTGTACACTAGAATCCCCTTTGACTAACCCAAAGAGGAACTACATTAGAGCCTTTAAGTAGGTTTAGGGGTGTCGAAGGACTTGCAACGCTTAACCCTAAGCCCTAAACCCTAAACCCTAAACCCCACAAAGCTACGGCCCTTGACGCTGCTCTGTCGAGTTCCGAAACGATTCCCGGCACCTTCCAGTATACTGCCTCAAAAAGGGTACTACATAGGAGCCTCCAGGTAAGAACGAGTGAGCTGAATTGGGGGTTTGGGGGTCGAAATTGTCAGGGTAGTTTAAAGGTCGAATACACTCATCCTACACATGGAGCCTCCCTCGCTCATTGATGGTGTAGTCAGCCGGTAACCTTAAGTAGGCTTAACTACCCTAAACTCTAAACCCTAAACCCTAAATAGCACTAATTCATAGGGGGGAACCTACGGGGGGGGGGGGGGGGTTGTAGCATACGAGGGGGGGGAGTATAAGGGGGGTAATTATAAACCCTAAACCCTAAACCCTAAACCCTAAACCCTAAACCCTAAACTGTGGGGAGAACTGAACGGTCAACCTTTGAGCTGAAGCATCAACATCTCGCCAAACCACTCAAGAACTAGGGTTTAGGTTTCGGGTGTATTGGCTTTAGGGTTCAGGGTTCAGGGTTTAGGGTTTAGGGTTTAGGGTTTGGGGTTTAGGGTTTAGGGTTTAGGGTTTAGGGTTTAGGGTTTAGGGTTTAGGGGTTTCGGGTGTAGGGTCTGAACAGTGAACAGAAAACATTTGCACCTAAACCAGGAGAACCCTTGTAGCGTTCGCGGGCAGCCAACCACAGTGTGGGCTGGGATGGTCCCCCTTATACTAACAGTCCTTTTTGGGGATTAGAATCGGGGGTACTATAATCCCTATAAATAAGGACTGTTAGTATAGGGGGGGACATGCCAAAGTGTGGGTGAAACCCGAAAATCTAGCCCGCAAACCCCAAACCCTATCAGTGCCACCTTCACCTCCTCCAAAAGAAGACCCACTAGCGTGACATCGTAGCCCCCACTAGGACCCAGGAGTAACCTAGGAATAAAAAGGGTGCCCCCTTTTGGAAACCCAAACCCTAAAAAAACAGGAATCACGGCCGACTCCGTGTCCTGGTTCAAACTTCATATGAAGTAGGGTATATATTTCTTGTACCCCCCCAACAGGACACCCGGTATATACACTCACCAATATTAAAAAAGGAACCTTATACACACTCACCAACAGCAGTAGTATAAACCCTACTTCATATCAGGCCTGGAACCTCCAAGGACTTTAACTAACGAGTCTATGAAAGGGTTCGGAGGTGCGAAGGAGCCCTTCGTACATGAAATGTGCCATAGAAAACCCTCGAGCTGACGCTCGTTTTTCAGGGGGAGGAGGAGTGGGGGGGGGTAACCCTGAACCCCAAACAACTGACCCTATAAACCCTGAACCCTAAACCCTAAACCCTGAACCCTAAACCCTCAACCCTAAACCCTGAACCCTAAACCCGAAACCCTAAACCCGTCCCCGGCTCCTCCCACATTGTGTCCACAGCTCTCGAAGCCGCGACCCGATCCGCCACAGGATCCTCACTACTGGGTTTGGGGTTTAGGGTTTAGGATTTAGGGTTTGGGGTTTAGGGTTTGGGGTCGAGGGTTTAGGATAATAACAAAAATAATAGCAATAACAATAACAGTAGCAATAACAATAACAATAGCAATGGCAATAGCAATAACAATAACAATAACGATAACAATAACAATAACAATAACAATAACAATAACAATAACAATAACAAGACGAATAATTATAATAATAGCAAAAAGAGAGAGAGAGATATATATATATATATATACATATATATAGAAACACACGTATGATGCTGGCGAGACCTCCCCGCCCCGCCCCTCACTCCCTCCCCTTCCCTTCTCTTTTTTGAGCCCGGTGGAGTGGAATTTGGGGGTGGGGGGGGGGTAGGGGGCGTCGGCGAACCGAGTACCGGGATCACAACGTAGCCTTATATGCACAGTGCAGAATGGGGTTTGAGGCAGCAGCTCACAACTTTTTTAAGGGGCCTTTTGGTGTGTGAGATTTATGGCTTGGCTTTAAGGTTTAGTGGGGTAGGGCGGTATGGGGGAAGATAGGTGAGTTGAAGGAGGTCCGTACATTGAAGTTTGTAGGGTGCCGGTGAAGCGCTTTAGGGTATTAGGGTGTAGGGTTCGGGGAGTGGAAGTTTAGTGTTCGAGGGTTCAGGGTTTACACTTTAGGTGCTCCAGTAATAGAAGTCTCCTTGTTCTGGAGGATAGGCTCGGGTCTGTTTGCCTTTTGATAGGACTTTGGGACTCCAGGGTAGTGGGCGGGGGCATAGGGTTTTTTGGGTTTAGTGTTCGAGCGTTTCGAGCCGCAGGAATTCTTGCCTGAATGTCTGAGGGATCTGGGCTTGAATCTGGAAATAAACGGGCGCCCGTTCATGCCTGATGGCTTTGGGTCGCCCTCACACCAAAACGACACGGATCCGAACACGATCCGAAACTCTCGTTTCAGCCTGACCCCTGCACATCCCCGGGCAGTAAAACCTATGTACTTGTACTCCCGAAGCCCTGAGCCTGAACCCTACCTAGAGTAGTAAAGTAGCAACATTTGGCCTCCAACATATACCCGACTGCGGTCGCACTTCTTGGACTCTTCGTGTTAATGAAGGTACATGCCCCTTTGTCTACCCCAATAGGGTGCAGGGTTTAGGGTTTAGGGTTTTAGGAATTAGGGTACAAGGTTTAGGGTTCATATACCCCACTATAGGGATTTTATATGACCACCATTTTCGGTTCCTCTAAACCCTAAACCCTAAACCCTAAACCCTAAACCCTAAACCCTAAACCCTCCCCAAGGAAACTCATGCCCTGGGCCTGGACCGTGCCGACGTTGAAGCGGAATCGAAAGACGCTGCGGAGAACTTCGGCCCGCTCATCCACCTGTCCAGAAGGGTTTAGGGTTTAGGGTTTAGGGTTTAGGGTTTAGGGTTTAGGGTTTAGGGTTTAGGGTTTAGGGGTCCACACATACTCCCCTGTCCCGGGGTTTAGGGTTTAGGGTTTGGGGTTTGGGGTTTGGGGTTTAGGGTTTAGGGTTTAGGGTTTGGGGTTTAGGGTTTAGGGGTTTGGGGTTTAGGGTTTGAGGGTTTGGGGTTTAGGGTTTAGGTTGTGGGGTTTAACCATCTGTTCGGAACGCACAGGGAACCCTAAACCCTAAACCTGAACCCTAAACCCGAAACCCTCAACTCACTTGTGGTACTATCATGGGACCAGGTACCGTGCTAAAGCAGTAGGGTGCCTAATTTCAGAGTAGCCTACACATTCTGATCCTCGTGAAGAAGAAGGGCACCCTGTGAGTGTAGGTGGCGCAGTACCCTCGCGGAGCAACACTGTGCACCCGTCGTGCCACTAGGCATTGGCAAGGGAACCTATACCCCGTGAAAAGGAAGAAGCGAAGGTACCGATCACAGGACATCCGAAGTAGACTATGCCGAGTTGGGGGATCTGGAAGCTGAGTTGTCGCCCACCCTTTTGTGACCTCAGAAATCTGCTTACGATAACATAGTCCCAGATAGCCTGAATAGTAGTCGCTCAGTTCCTAAAACCTATAAACCCTAACCCCTGAAAGCCAATCTCTACACCCTAAACCCTGAACCCGAAACCCTCAACCCGCCCTAGACCCTACACCCTACACCCTAAACCCTAAACCCTAAACCCCAAACCCCGCACCTAACCCACGGCGGACCTCGGGATCGTAGCCCGTAGGAAGGAAGACATCCTCGAGCCCGTGCCTCGCGCAGAGGAGGTTTAGGGTTTAGGGTTTAGGGGCTAGGGTTTCATCCTCCAGCCCTGCACCGTTAACCCTCAACCTACCTGGGTTTAGGGTGTAAGGTTTAGGGTTTAATTAGGGTTTAGTGTTTAGGGCTTCGGGCCTGCAAGGGGGTTGGAACAGAGTTGTTTTCAGTCTAGGGTTCTACTTCAGAGGAAGCCCGCGCTTGAAACAAGAAGGGGGTAAGACAATCCCACAGACTGAGGGTTTAGGGTTTAGGGTTTAGGGTTTAGGGTTTAGGGTTGAGGGTTTAAAGGGTTTTAGGGAGGCAGCTCCGAACGAGACCAAGATCCCCCAAGGTTTCGGGTTTTGGGTTTGGGGTTTAGGGTTTAGGATTTTGGGTTTTGGGGGGTTTTGGATCTAGAGTCTGACCCGCCCTACACCCCAACGAACCCTAAGCCCGAAAACCCCAAACCCATTGCAGAGGGTTTAGGGTTAGGGTTTAGGGTTTAGGGTTTAGGGTTTAGGGTTTAGGGTTTAGGGTTTAGGGTTTAGGGTTTAGGGTTTAGGGTTTAGGGTTTAGGGTTTAGGGTTTAGGGCTTAGGGCTTAGAGTTTAGGGGACAGACATCGGCGAGCCAAGCAACTTCGAGGCTACCAGGAAAGCCGTGCGGATGGGCACCGGGTCAAAACCGAGTCCTCGGTGCGTTGGGGGATGAAGTTTGGGATGTTCCCCCCTTACACTAGAGCAGTCCTTAATGGGGATACCCTAAACCCTAAACCCTACACCCTAAACCCTGAACAAGGTCTGTTAGTATAAGGGGGAACATCCCAAGATGAAGGTTTAAACTTCGGGGCTTCGAGTTTGGAGCTTCGCACGTGGTGGGCCTAAGCTCGAACCGTGCTCCACCATGTTTGAGGTTTAGGGTTTAGGGTTTAGGGTTTAGGCGTTTAGGGTTTAGGGTTTAGGGTTTAGGGTTTAGGGCTAGGTTGGAACCACGGGCCCTTAGTGTGGTCCCTTACCCTTGTTTATAGGAATCCGAAGCATGGGCCCTTATTATATCTAGTGGATAGAAGCGTTTGAAGGCACCCAAGCCAAGGGCCCATACCTGGAGCCCAAGACGGAATGTGCGGCCACGGGCTTCAGAGCTATGTCAATCTAGGGGGGCTCAGCCCTAAACACGAGGGGGCCAAACCCTAAACCCTAAACCCTAAACCCTAAACCCTAAACCCTAAACCCTAAACCCTAAACCCTAAGTCATCTGCCCGCGAATTCTGCAAAAAAGGCCACCTGAAGCACACCAAGGAGCCATCCAGCGTCATGGAGTTCGGCACGATGCTCCTTATGCGGCGTCCCCCTACATCTAGGTTTAGGGTTTAGGGTTTAGGGTTTAGGGTCTAGGGTCTAGGGTTTAGGGTTTAGGGTTTAGGGTTTAGGGTTTAGGGTTTAGGGTCTAGGGTCTAGGGTTTAGGGTTTAGGGTTTAGGGTTTCGGGTTTAGGGTTTAGGGTTTAGGGTTTAGGGTTTAGGGTTTAGGGTTTAGGGTTTAGGGTTTAGGGTTTAGGGTTTAGGGTTTAGGGTTTAGGGTTTAGGGTTTAGGGTTTAGGGTTTAGGGTTTGGGGTTTAGGGTTTAGGGCTAGGGTTTAGGGCCTAGGGTTTCGGGTTGTTCAGGGAGGGGGGTTCAAGAGGGTTCTCTAATACTCCCTACTACTCCCTAAGGCTCCCTAGGCTTCTTAAGGTTCCCTAGGTACCTACCCCCATGAAACCCCTTCCCTTAAGAACCCTAAACCCTAAACCCTAGACCCTAAGCCCTAAACCCTAAACCCTAAGCCCCAAGCCCTAAACCCTAAACCCTAAGCCCTAGCCCTAAACCCTAAACACTCGCTTAAAGACAGGGTTCAAGCCACATCCACTCCAACTTACGAACTCTCCAGCTCGAAGCTCCTACACAGGACATGAAGTAGGGTTTATATTTTTTGTGTCCCCAAAAGGACACCAAATGTATACACACTCACCAACTTAAAAAAAGGAACCTTATCTTGGCTGCACTTCGGAGGGTAGCAAAAAATTAAACTTTTAGCTGCCTGATTAAGAAACCCAATAAACCCAAAATGCTAAGGATCTGAAGTTACAGTAAAGCACCACAAAGTCATATACACTCACCAAAAACAGAAATACATACCCTGCTTCATCAAGGGTTTAGTCGTTCTGCTGTCCAAATCCTGCCATGGGTTTAGGGTTTAGGATATAGGGTTTAGGATCTTTTTCTGCTTTTTAGGGGGTATTCCTGCGTGCTGTAATGGGCAGGTCTCTAAATTAGGGCCCCTTTGTTTTCTGTTTTCTTTTCCTTGTTTTTGCTTGGTTTATCTCTTTTTTTTTTTTTTTTTTTGGGGGGGGGGGGGGTCCTTGTAACAAGGTGCCGTGCCACATAGGGGACTCAAAAGCGACACCAATCTAGAGAACTACCTTCCCGAAACCCCAAACCCAGAACCCTAAACCCCAAACCCTAAACCCCAGACCCTAAACCCTAAACCCTAAAAACCCTAAGCCCCAAAACCCTAAACCCCAAACCCTAAACCCCAAACCCTAAACTCCAAACCCTAAACCCCAAACCCTAAACCCCAAACCCTAAACCCCAAACCCCAAGCCCTAAACCCCAAACCCTGCACCCCAAACCCCAAACCCTGAACCCTAAACCCCAACCCTCCCCAAAACCCAAAACCCAAACTCCAAACCCCAAAACCCTAAAGCCCAAACCCCAAACCCTAAACCCTTCAAAGAAGGCTTTTGTGAAGCCCAAGGTGCCCTCTCGACACGTTTAATGTCGGCAGGGCGTAGCTGGACAGCGACAATCCAGGATTGCAAAGACCCTGGTACCTGGGTGGGGGTTTAGGGTTTAGGGTTTAGGGTTTAGGGTTTAGGGTTTAGGGTTTAGGATTGAGGGGGATCTAAGGCGTTTAATTCCCCCATTCCCTACTAAGAACCAGTGGGTTTTTGGGCGCATGGGACCCCTTTTACCTAGTTGCTTAAGGACCCGCCCCCCCCCCCCCCCCCTCCCCCCCCCCCCCCCCCCCCCCAAGAAAAAAAAGAGACTGAACAACAAAAACAACATTCTCCCTTAGAAGGGTAATACAGGGATATTTGTCTCTTTAAAGAGGGGTGTTGAAGGTTTGGGGCCTAGGGGAGCCTATAGAGGTCTAGTAGGGCACTGAGGGGTTCAGGGGTTTGGGGTTCCGGGGTTTCACCCTGCCCTAAACCCTAAACCCTGAACCCTAAACCCTAAACCCTAAGCCCTAAACCCTGCCCCCAAAACCCAAAACCCAAAACCCTATACCCTAAACCCTAAACCCCCGTAAACCCTAAGCCAGGGCTTTGGAGGCTTGGGGTTCCGGCGTTCAGGATCATCTAGGGGCTCTCTAATCCGGCGAGGGGTCCTGGCGAAAGAGGCCCGGAAGATACAGAAACATGTACAGGCTACAAAGTCATACCTTGGGATGTTCCCCCCTCAGACGAACGGTCCTCTGTAGGGATTACAGTACTTCCTATGATAAGCCCCTTTAAGGACTGTTTGTATAAGGGCGAACATCCCAATGCGCAGGTAACATGACATGCGTAGTTCAGGCATCCCATCGCCGAGCAACTGCTAAATAACTCACCAACCCAAATTCCCAAACTTCTTTTCCCTAACCGACCCCCCCCCAGAAAAAAGAAAGAGATGAACACAACATACATGAAGGTGTATTTGCATCAACAAACAAAGAGCAGCCCCCTCTACACCCTGAACCCTGAGGTCCTGAGGTCGTGGCTGCGGGTCTGTCTTGTTGCAGAACTCCGCGAAGCCGTTCGCTTCCCTGAGCGCCTGCTCTATCCTGGCGGCGTACTTGTGGTGATCAGGGCTTAGGGTTTAGGGTTTAGGGTTTAGGGTTTAGGACTTAGGGGCTCCAGGCCTGGGGATCCGGGGGGGGGGGGGGGGGGGGGGGGGGGGGGGGGGGTTCGAAAATCCTGCTTCCCCCATCTTTCCCAACACCTAGGCGATTGCCAGAGGGGCATGTCTACGCCGACTACACACCACAGCTTATCAGAGTTACCGATGAGCCCGCGCGTCCTGAGCTCTATGTAAGCTACCGGAGGCGGGCTTACAATAGCAGTTCACGAAAAAACCTCTGTGACGTGAACTGCTGCTAGCCAGTGTGAACATGGGGAGTTCTCTTCATTAGGGCCCCTTGTTATGTTTAGTACCCTAAAAAGTCTCAGCCCTCCAGGCCATGCAAATGAACATGTTCTTGACCCAAGCTAGACTGGACGTGGAACCCAGCAAAAATTACAATTTCAGCTTCTTCTTGGGAATTATAGTGCCCAAGCATTCAAAAATTATCCCCAAGTATCCCTAAGAATGAAATTACCTAGAGGCTCCTATGTAGTACCTTTCTGGGGTAGTATACTAGAATCCCCTATAGCTAACCCAAAAAGGGACTACATTAGAGACTCCAGGTAAAGTAGCCAAAAGCTCTCAAACCATTCCCCAGTGTCCCTAAGAATGAATGGTTCTACGGGCATCCTCGGGCCTTCTAAGCCCTCAAGGTATGTGGAGGATACTACTGCCTTGCAGACCAGAGGAACCCAAAAAGGGTTTAGGGTTTAGGGTTTAGG